AGTCTGTATTCCTAACTGCCTACGCAGTGTTTGGTGAAAACTAATACCAGCTCATCTCCGCTAGTTAGTAGTAGCAATTTTGATGTGATAGAAGTAAATATCTATGAATACTTACGTTGCAGTTTCTCAGGAGATGTGAAAAAAAACAAAGCAACCAAATACCGACACGGCTTTTAGAAAGACAGAGGCGTAGATTCCTTTGCTGTAGCTTGCAGGCTGCTTGCTAGCAACTCAGAGAAATTGAAAACCACTTTCCAGCTCAGAAAGTGAAAAGAGAAATGGGAATTAATCACGAAACAGTGACACTCAAGCAGCTGCTTAAGCTGTGGTTCCTGTAGAGTTTGGAAATCTGACTCTCGTGGTGGTGTAAGCAGGACTAACATCGGACAACAGAAAAGTAGGAAATAATGAAGGCAAGAGTGAAGTTCAAGGAGTAAGCGAAAGGTTGTGAGACCAAACAGCAAGCAAATATTGTAGTGCATAACAAGCAGGAAGTTTAGTGAAAACCTGCAGGTTGCTGGAGATCAGACAATGTCTGAAAAAGAGTTTGTTGTGCAGATCCCTTCCAGCTGAGGTGCTTGGATATGAGGACAGCCTCTCAACCCTGGAATTTACTATGGATTACTGTATATATTTATTGTCAGTTCAATTGTGCATCTTGTTCTTTGTGTATGTTTTTATAGTACTTATGCTTTGCTTTCACTTAGGAGTTATGGAGTAATAAACTGAAAGTAGTCATATTTTTGCACCTACGTACAACTAAGTCTCACATAATAATAATTTAATACTTGATTTGTAGCTAACACAGCATGTGCTGTTACCTAGAGTGTTAACATTTACCAAATTTAACACAGACTGGTATTACTAGCCTGAGCTTTGCTTCGCGAAGAGAAGACTGCCTTTGTGTAGTAGGTGTTTTCTTCCTAAACATGTCCTTTTCTACAAGCTGAAGGAATAGTGCTAGTATTTTCTATTTTAATAGAAATTTCTGAAGTATTTTTAGCTAACACAAACTGTAGCGTTTTGATTCTGAAGGATGCAATTTGCTTAAAATATTCAACCAAAAATAAATTCCAGCCTAGAAAAGTGTCAAAAAAGGATATTTTGCATTGGAGAGAAATGTTTTGCAGCCTAGTCTGTGTTTGTACACTCAGGGTGGTGGTGTTGTGGAGTTTTAGTCTGTGGTTGTCGTTTGCTGTCTCCGACCTAAACAGTCGATTCGGTAGAAAATAAATGTATCAAAAGGAGGTGACGCTTTCTTAGACCAAGGCTTTTTTGAACTTTGTGTCATAGGTAGGTGGTTAAAATCTGTCAAAAGCAATAGGAATGAGAATAACATTCTGGTGAGAGAAGGTGAATTACTATTTATTTTTAGATAGTCTGGATATTTCTGGCTGCATGTTGGGTGTTTTCATGATGTTTAAATGTAGTAGTAGTTTGAGTTCTTCTCTCATCGTTTTCCTTCTTGCAGAGTTTTTTCTGTTTGCATATTTGCAGGTTGTACGTAGTTTATACCCTTTTGATGAGGACACAGCGAGCAATTTCTTTTGAGGACGGAAACAGGATTTTTGTTGTTCTTTTTGCCGCCCGTGCCAATCTGTCTCCCGTTGCCAAATGCGCACTAAATAGGTCACTGCAGCAGAAATTGTTGCATTAACAAGCAAAGAGCAAAGTCACACTGGTGGTGGTGCGTGTTTGTCGCACACAGAATGTCTTTCTGAGCGCTTCTATCACTTCTTACCTGTTCTGCTGTGCTCAGAAGTGATGTGTAAGGGAGTACAACAGGCTGCTACGCTTGATCTGATGTAACCAGAGTGGAGGGGGTACCTCCTTTTTTGGCAGCAGCTTCACGCTTATATTGGATTAAGTGTAATGTGAAACCGTACCCGAAATAATTGGTTTTATGCTTCTAGAGGTTTTCATGGGTACATATTAAGATGCATACGCTTCCCCACTAGGAAACAGTTTTAAGTTGTTGCCCATGTTTTGAAATGTATGTTTTTCCTCTGCTGGCCCACCTTTGAAACTGGTCATCTTAACACAGATCTGGAGCAAAGGCTGAAGAAAAGCTGGGCTTTTGATTCCTAACCTTGGTGCCTCATGCCAGTGTGTACAGAAGAGCTTGTTTCTTGCTCACGGCTCGCTCTGTACACCCGCAGGTATTGAAATAAAAGCCCGTGGAGCACATGTCTATCCATGCAAAGAGCAGGAGTTTTTGCAGAAACCTAAAGGGTACTGCAGTCACAAAAGGGTGCCTTCATTTACTAGCGTTTGTAAATCAAACTGGTGTTGCTTATGCCCTTTAACTGCTCCGGCTCTTAATAAAAAATGAAAATTTTGTAAGGAGCAGACCTGGTTTTGTGGCACTGGTGAGTTCAAACGAGGCAGGAGGAAGTACAGCAAAATCAGCAGAGGTGTGAGAGGAGAAGCATCTCAGACACTTCTGACCATAGAGCAACAACTCTTCACAGCCTCACCAGGAAGCAGCAAGAGGCAGGGGGAACATCTGGCGTTTTCACTGTCCTTGCTGAAATGAAGGGTCTCCACGGGAGCGTGGTGGGTGGTGAGGAGCTGGTGACACTGCCAGGCCAGGCTGGCGAGCAAAACCAGTGGGGAATTGTTTGTGCCAGGGAAGGACAGCCAGCGGAGGCTGTGTTTTCAAAGACAGACTGAATCAGATGTACTCTCAGTTCACTAACTCATTTCATGTCTGTGCCGAACTTACAAGTCAGTCCCTAATCCTCTTTTAGTGCTCTAGGGACCAATAATAGGGATGCTGCAAACAGCCCTGGCTGCTTCTTGCTGCAAAGGGTTAATTTTGAACCATGAAACAGGATTAACTTTTACTTTTTGGGTTGGTGGCTGTGGAGTTTTCCTGCTGCTTATCTTTGATCACATGAGATGTGAGCAGGTATTTCCAGAGATGCAGTGAGCGGCTTGTGTGTGTTTTTAACAGCCCAGCGGAGGAAGCACATCGATGGGGAAAAATCACTGTGCAGATGAGAGCAGCAAGAAGGGTGGCTTGCTAACCTTTATAGTCTGGTTTTTGGCGAGAGAGCGTACTTTTAGTGCAGAACAGAAACCAACACAAGGTGTTTTTCTCTGGCCGTGTGTGTGGCTTTGGTGATAGAAATGTAGCTGGTTGAAATTAAAATCCCATTCATGCTGTGTGAGAGTCCTCCATCTGCTTGAAGAAATAGAGCTTTGCAAGGCAATCGGAGTAATTTTGGGGATATACAGGTGGATCTACACCAGAGCTTCATTCTGGAAAGATAATTGTTCGTAGATATGAGGAAATATGTGTCAAACAGTCTTTTAGTTCTAGTTCACAAATTATAAACACCATGAGAAAAAAATTATAAATACCATGCTATATTTGCCATTGAGGAGATGAAAATAAACAGTAAGAATTGCTGGTGGTTTTTGTTGTTTGGGGCCATGGGGGTTCAATAAGGAGGACGTGGACAATTTTATATGGAGCTAGGGAGAAAATTGGTGATGCTGCTTTTGTTCTCCACTGCCATTAGGGTACATATATATAATGTACAAACACTGCTGGTGTTTTCAGGTTGGTTTTTTTTCTATTTTAGCCACAAAATTGCAGAAGCTTAAAATACAGTGACAAACCTCGTCTTACCCAACTATGCAAGCTTAATATTCATGAAAAAGCAGAGGTTTGCCATTTACGTGTTTCATCCACACTGAACGATCACTGTGCTTTCCTTAAGTCACAACAGTCAAGCCTGCCGCGGAGTGACAAGACCTGGCTTTTCCCTCAGTGTTATTTGATCCGTGTTTCAGTTTGACATTATGTAAATACTCTGCTATTAGGGAAGAAAATGACATAAAATTGCATCCTTTCTCAACGAGGTTTTAAGTTCTTTCAGTGGCTTCTCTCCTTTTTGAAGCTGTAATAAAGATCATAATTAGAATCCCAGTTGCTTAAGTGAGAAATTAGCATGTTCTTAAATGCTGAGCAGAGCCAGGTTCCCTGCGAGACCCCCTCCGGGTATCTGTCCTGCCCCAAAGCGCTTTCCCTAATACCAATTTGCGTTCTAGACGTATTAAAGAAAATCATATTCATTGCCGCCTAGTAGTTAATCAGAGCCTTCAGATAGGCTTGAAATCATTTGCAGCCTGACTGCCAGAGCCACCTGCATCTGTTCCTTCCCCAGAGCCATACCCGGGCATGCTCTAGAATTTATCAGAAATCGTCAGTCCATTGCCCAGGACCAGAACTGGGACAAATTCACTCCATGCATGTCCTTCATTCTTACGAATTTATTGCAAATACTACTTAACCCCACTCCAGACCTCGTTGCTTACTCTCTTCTAGGCTTTGGCCAAATGAACAAAAATATAATGGCTTTTACCTGGTAGTGTCCCTGTCAAAAATATCTTTCCCTTTTTTGATTTGTTTTTGTAGAACTGGGGGCTAACATTGAGACCTGATCTATTAATATATATTTTACCATGCAAATAAGATTCTAGCAGATTGGAATAAATTAAAAGCTTAATGGGGTTAAAATAAACCTCATTTGTAAATTAATTAAAAACAAGAAGCAAAGAACACTAACACTTAAAAATACCCCAAAACACTTTCATAGTGCAAACTGCAGATTATTTTCCAAATAAGTGAATGGTAAACTGTAATTGCAGGATGTGCAAGAAAATACTTGGAACATATGAAATAGTAGTCACAGATTTTAGAGTCAAGATGTTCCCTCTCTGGTTTTTCACATTGTCACAGAAGATATCAAAGGATAAAGCAAATAAAATGCTGTCTTTGCAATTGACCCAGGTAGGGGATATTATATTGGTGAGAGATGGATTCAAAGTTACATATATAGATATATAGAGAGATATATATACGCATGTGTATATGTGTGTATATATATATATATGTTTGGTTTTTTTTTTTAGATGGTGAATTTTTACGTTCTGATGTCTCTCCTTCAAGTTCTGCCTAACATGCTTCTGATGTGCTCTTGTTTCCACAGGCCAAGGCTGCAAGCACAAAGGAAGTTTGCTCAGTCCCAGCCAAACAGTCCCAGCACAACTCCAATTAAGATAGTGGAGCCGTTGTTACCCCCTCCCGCCACTCAGATTTCTGACCTCTCCAAAAGGAAGCCCAAGACAGAAGATTTTCTCACTTTCCTCTGTCTTCGAGGTAGGAGTCTTGCAGCAGCCGTGGGGGACGGGCTCAGTCAAAGAACGAGGTGTAGCACCGCACACTGAGTAGCAGCTAGACAATGCTACACTTGAATATATTGTGTGCATTTCAGTTCTCAGTAATGTGACTGTATCTGCAGCAGGAGCATTCAAGTTCTTGGTTGTAAAGACCATAAAATGAGGCCGGTAATAGTGCAAAAGGAAATTCATTTTATGCTTAGCACTCTGTTATCCTGAATGGGTTTTTGTGGTGCACTCTCAAGTCCTCCCCATCCTCCTTTGTTTTGTCTGACTGTAAACCGAAGAAGTGCTTAACTTGCCTGAGTACTTGTTTCTGCGAGAGGAGAAATCTGATTGAAAATTCCCCTTCTCCACCTATTCACTGTCCTTCATTGTTTGATCTGAGTGAGGTTTTTCATCTGACAGTGGGTGGAGAGGTTGCTGCTGTTCTTAATCGTAGCTTCCCTATGAGCTGGATTGTTCCCATGGTGATAATTAAAACAGGTGAGCTCTTCCACTCTGCAGCCCAAGCACAGACAAGGCATCTGAAGTTGGACAGTGTGTTACCCGAATTATCTCACAGTAGCAGGTGCCTGAGCCTGTCTGGAGCTGCATGGTGTGTGTCTGGGTTCACTGGTGTGTGCCTGCAAGCCTGCATGTCAGACCTGGGACCTCGGTGTGAGGTACAGCTGACAGATTAGGCTAAAGAAGGAGACCTTAACCTGAGTGGTCATTTTTCTTGGGACTTTCCATGGCCCTGTGTCTTAAGCCATGTGCTGAGGATAGTGTCTTTCAGTCTAATCTCCTAAGTGTAATATTGGCTCTAGTGGTATGCTTTGCTTGCATTAGGTTCCCACCCATCCCCTTAGTTAGGCACGGCTCTATCCTTGATGTGCTGGAGCAATGCCTCTTGCTGTTGTTGTGTCCCATTACCTGCTGAAAGGGCGTGCATTTGCAACAAGATAGGGCTCATCTGCAAAAATCTTACCCAGTGGATTGAATCCTTCAAAGCTTTTGTTTGGGTTCCCTTTTCCTGTTCTGAGGTCTCCATTGCATCTGTGAGCAGCACGGGTTAGCACTTTGCTGAGGCTTTCTCGCGTTAGTGCAGCGGGGTTTGATTTCTTATTTTTTTCTCTTCTGGGAGATGTTAGGCTAGTGGTAGCCCTAGACTGGTTGCTAATTTATCTGTCGTGACTCTGCTCCAATATGGAGCCTTCATCCTGTTGGGACTTCTGGTAAAGTGAGTGGGTGGATTGGGATGAAGGAGGGTGGTTTGCTGTCTTTTGTGTTTGTTTAAAGGATTGCAAGGAGCAGAATCTAATGGAGTTTAAAGTGGCATCACGGTCCTCTGCAATTTAATCTGTGGAAACGTATTTCTAATTTAGTCTGCTGTGAGGTTGATCAGTCTGTTGGCAGCATGTCACTGCTGTGATCTGGGCCAACTGCCACAGTTGTTGGTGGGAAAATTCAGATGGCGGGGGTGTGTGCGTGTATGTGTGTGAGCACACATGGCTGCATTCACACACTTGTTTCCACTGCTTGCTAACTAAGCATGTGTTATTTATAGCTTTGAAGGCACTTGCGCTTAAAGAAAGACAACCTGTGTGGGGATGTGACTTATCTCCATTTTTATTTCCTGCTGTCTCTTAGCTTTCTGCTTTAACAATGCAAATGGGAAGCACGGGTACTTTTGTCCTGTTCCAGTGCTTCATTCAGAAGGGTTTGGTGGTTTTTTTCTATTTTAATCACTGACTGTTTAGCTCTTGCACCTGTAATTTTCTTCTTTGTTATTCATCTGTAGAATAATTGATGTTTTGTACTGTCAATTAAGAACTTGCAATTCATTCCTAATTTCTTCAGTATGCAGGAGTACTCATATATTTCAGACAACACGTGCATTCAGACTGCAAGATCCCAATTACACTTATATTGAAAACCACAAGGGAAAATCTTCTCAGAGTGCCACTCATGGCATGTTCTTGGTCTGCTTAAACAGGCTGAAGACAAGCAGAAAGGGAGCCAGCAGCTTACTTAAACCCTGTGTAGGAAAGACTTGTGATTTTTTTAAGGGGTTTGTTTTGGTTTTGAACCTCTGTGCTATTACTTATTGAAGTGTTGAGGATTCAAAATTGCTCGCATGGTGGGACATGTGGTTGTTCTGACTTCTGTCCAGATATGTCTGTCCAGCCCTGGCTGTTTGAACTTTCATGAGGAAATGGGATATGCAATTACATGGAAATTAGGAGTGCACTCACAAGGTGTAAGTTCAGCTCTAGGAAAATTGTTTAGTAGGAAGCATAATAGTGGTAAGATCCAGGACAGTAAATCCCCATGTTTGTATAGTTTAGGGTGTTGGTTTTTTTTGTTTGGTTTGGTTTCTTGGCATTTTTGTTTCGTTGGGGTTTTTGGGGGTTTTTTTTGTTTTATTTTTGTTGGTTTTTTTTAAAGGTGAGACTCTATTCAGTCCTAGTCCTTGAAAATGCTCTGTTGATATAGACCCTGCATTCATGATCACAGCTTTTCTTCGACAAGGGAGTCTTCTCCAGGACTGGTGGGAAAGCAGCTCTGTGGTCACACCTCTGTCCTTGTGCCACCTCACCCAGCAGCAGTGTTAGAAGCACAGTGTAAATTTGTCACACCGTGTCAGCATATACTTTCGTTTTCTATTTTCAAACAGAGAAGTTTAAAAAAAAAATCCTGTCACCACTACAAGTTCACTCGTCAGTATTTTGGGAGGGGGGTATTTTAAGTGGCGGCAGCAGCTGAATGCTGTGAGTGATGGAGCAGTGCTATCATGTGGCAATGTGGAAGAAAGGCCCTTCACATGCATAAGGTCTCATACTCACGGAAAAAAGTCCCATTTACCTGGCCTTCTCCTATGTGTCAGAAAATCTAATGATTCAAATCACTTTTACTTATTTTTTTTTATCATCCTGTAATTTCAAAGGGAGATAATTTAACCAAGATGACGTGCTTGGTTTCATTATCCAGAATACTAGGGGCTTTAGATGATTTTTAATTAGTTTGTTTTTTGAACCCTTGATTTGATAATACAATGTAGTAACTACTAATTACTTCTTAAAAGGTAAGCAGAGCAGAATGAAAAAGCTGTAACAGTTGATGAATATCTGAGCACCCTGGAATACATCTAACTGACCAGACTTGACAAAGCTCCCCTGCTTTCTGTTATTTTAAAATGCTTAAAAAAAAATAATTAAATTGTGACCTAGAATTTCCAACACAAGAAGGAAGGGAGTAGTGCAGATAGCTCTGAAGTGTTTGTCTGCAGCGTTCTTATCTTTAAATAGCTTCCATGAAGGAGCCCGTATGCCCGTTGCCAGAGGCATAATTAATATCTTTCAGCAGCGCACGTAGATACGAGTGTGTCGTCTCCATGCAGTTGTACGACAGCTTTAGCTTTTACTGCGTTTTCTGCCTCTGATTAAATTTTCTTACTAGCTTCTGTTACAGTGCATTTAAGTTACCTTTACTCTCTATAATTATTTACAGGTTAAAAATACTGCGAGTGGAATAGTATAGGGGTAAAGAGAGGAGAAGCAGCAACTCCCTGTGAGCAATGGATCTTTGGCAAAAGGTGATAACAGGAAGGCTTGTGATTAGAAGCCTACATTTTAAGAAGTTTTCCCATGATCAATTCTCTAATTAAGCCAGGCCTCAGGGAGTTACATGCTAGAGAATTTCTGGAATTCCTAAATAAAGATGGTTTAATTGAGATCTCACAAATCAAGTTTTCAGGCTCTTCTAACAGCTGTTCTGCAAAATGCATGACTCTTTGTGTTCTTTGAGTACTGCAGTGACTTAACGATGTGAACGTTTCTTACAACTCGGCAAAACTATAATAGAAAGTATCACTATAGCATGCTTGTCCTAACCTCAGTAACTTCTGAATCTCAGTGCCACAGTTCTCCTACCGTTTGCTCTTAAACAGGCCTTTTGTTTTAAACACCTTCTTTAGTTGGTAAGCTCGGGGGCCTTTAACCCCAGTCTTCTCTCTCGTGTCTTAATAGGAGGTACTGTATTGTGTATGCCAATAGATACCTACAGAGATTTTCTGTTACAGCAGGAGAGGCCCTGAAAACAAAACCTTGGGAGCTCTTAATTTTGAGCATGTTAGAAAATGACCATTAATTTGCATAGCTTTTAACAAAGCAGAAGGTAGACTTGCCTGGTGTATAGTGGCCTTTACAAGAGCCTGCAGCTGCATCAGTGACATTTCTGAAGTCCCAGCCTTCCAAGGGGAGCACATTGCCACTGTGGGGACGTGCTCTCCAGATCACCATAAGCATGTTAAATAACACAGCAACCTGATTAGGCTGGAAACAAAGCAATGAAATGCTGACGCTGTCCAAAAATATGAGCGGCTTTGCAGTCTAGGTTAGTTTTTATAATTCCAAAATAATACTAAAACATGAAGAGTTATGGTAATTTGTTTAAAATACTGAAAGAAGACTTTTTATCAGTTGTGTTGTTAAATCGTTAGATGATTGAGACTGAAATTTGGGGATGAATTGAAAACACAAGAATAAACTTAGGGGTGTGGAATCTTAATGGCACAAACCATTTAATGTAAATAAGTTGGCATTTAGCAACTGTAATCTCAATTTTGAAGTTCTTTTTTAAAGTTCGGAGTAACATCGAAGTGTAAAAGAAGAGGTATATCTCATCCACGCAACCATGTAGTCCACCTGTAGAATATGCTGCTCTAGGCTGGTGGTGGTGGTTTAGAACAAGAGTCATTTAAGCAGCGTTGCCAGAGATAAGTGGATATGCAGGCTCATAGTGGAAAGCACATGTGTGAAGTATGCAGAGAGAGCCTGGCAACCCGCACCATGGCGCATTATTTCTTCCCAGGGAGCGGGAGTGCTGCTGGAGAGGCCATCCTTCCAGGCCTGCAGTGGAGGGTGCATCTTCACATCTGTTTATGCCTACTATGACATCTAAAAAGTTGTGAGAGCTGCTGAGTGCAAGAGAAGAGTA